CAACAAAATAGGGTGCCTTCCGGAAAAATCGTCCTATGTGCGTCACTTTTAAAGAAACCATTAAACCAACACCGCCAAGTTCAATTGATCAATTTTTATTCACACAAACATTAACTTGTACTTTGCAATATTATCTGCAGACTTTCAAATTGTGATTCAAACATTCACATAAGCCTTTTGAAATCCAATTAAAACATTTAATTACGCGCTCCAAACATAAAAATAGTCGGTTAAAACTTTCAGTTAAGCAGGTTAAACATTTTATTATAAACATCAAACCCTTGCAGTGACATTTAAATGGTAACTTGAAATTAGCGTTTTTAATTCAACCCTCACGTCCTTTAACGAAACTTTCATCTTGGTATTCAAATATATTAATCACACTTTCATGTCGGACGCTCATTATTCGATTCAAACATTCAATTCCGATATTCAATGTAAACATTCAACTCGAACATTCAAAGCAAACATGCAAGTCGAACATTTATAGTGAATTAACATTCAGTTCGAACATTCACTGCAAACATTCCATGCAAACATGAAATTCAGCAATATTCAGTTCAAATCATCATTCCAAATTGCCGGTTTCCTTTGCTTTTGGAGTGCTTCGGACGTGTGGCATTAATTATTCTGCGATTTTTACAGCACTTCAAAGATAAGTTTGAGAATGTTTATTGCTTCTTTTTTGTATTTTCAAGGGTTAGTATTTGTGCCTTAGAGTTTATAAATTTCTTTTTATCTATATGCCAGAGGGCTCGAGAACATGGCACAGAGTAAATTCGGCCGCGGCGGATCGAGTTAAGCCATCTTTGAAGAACCCCAGTGGGATCTAGTCTGAGTAAAGACTGCCCTGTCCTTTCTCTTTTAAAAGTGAGACCTTGACTTTTATGATAATCTTTAAGTATTCTTAAGCCCAAACTGTATCACTGCAACGATATCGCCGAGGTCATGGGTTCAAATCCCGTGAAGGCCTAAATTTTTTCAGGCCTCATTTTCACTGCTTAAGTAGTGTACATTACTGCGAAGATCGCTTTCATATTCGTGTATTAATTTATTGCCGAACAAACCTATACTTAATGACCATTGCCAGTCTCCTTGCAATTATAAACCTCTTGCATTTTTAGAATATCACTGCAATTAACCCACGAAAGGCGACAGTTTAATAAACCGAACAGAAACTGGTCAGTGGTTAAGTAACAGAAAGCTTATCAGTCAGTTACATTACGTGGGTGTTTAGATAACTGCCGGATAGTCTCAATCCTGAAGTATTGCGATACGTTTTACACCCAATATCAAAATCTAAATTATCCGCTTTGCAATACATAGCTTTTAGTTCCAGCTCTGAGATTTGGGCATCAGAACACCTTGACACCATGGTCGTCAAAGACATTGAGTCTCACACTCACTTAGGCTTAACTTTGCAGAGTAATATGTCGTGGAGAAATCGTATAGTTAAGATGTATAAGAAAGCTTCTAAACGATTAAATATACTGAAATGTGTCAAAAACAATGTTGATAGATCCACGTTAACATTTTTGTACAAAAGGCTGATTAGACCAATCATGGGATACGGGGATGTTATCTGGAACAACTGTCATAATTGCGATTCAGCTTCCTGGATAATGCGACGTTGATCATTCAAATAACTCTGGCTAGAAAAAGCGCTCTTCATTTTGATAAGTACAAGTGGATTTCGTTCATGAGAAGTAGCTTCGAAGTTCATTATAAAGCACTATTTTTTAATAAGTGATTGCGGGCGAGGAGCTGGAGGGTCATTTAACAAAGACCATTTATCTAAAATCCACTTTACTTAAGTAATGAGATAACTAACCATTAACCGCCAGGAGTAAAAGCCAGAAGTATATCAATAGGGATCTAAGATAGAGCAAACTCAGAGTCTAATTCATTAAAATTCTCAAAATAAATCACATCAATAGCAGCACGTTTACGGAAATAAATCACTATGTACTGCTCAAATATACATGTTCTCTCTTTTGTTAAGCGTCAATACATTCACCGTTATAAGAGTGAGTATGCCAGTTGAAGTCTCTGATTTTCTGTTTACGTAGAAGACAAAAAAAAACAAAAAAAAAACATACAGATGCAACAACATGAGAGCCATTCGTTTCGGCCTGGACCAATTTGTATTCGGACCCTCTCAAAGAATGCCGTTTTCCACTTTCTAGAATAAAGTATTCCAATCGACAACGAAGCTCTAGATGCATCGATCGCTGATGCAAAGATCTTGCACGACAAGATTGATTTCTACTTTAAGTTCAAGCGTCCAATTTCCAGCGAGGACTTTTAAGCTCTCTATGCAACCACTAAACTCGGTGTGGATATACTTCAGAAAGTCTTGTGAATACTGCATGGAGTTTACTCCCTTCTCTAATTCGGGAAGAGGGGCGGTGCGATGAATGCGGGCGACCTTCATCTTAAACGACAACTAGCGGGCTGAATCTACGTCTGCTAGCGCTTAAGCAAGAGAGCGACAAACAATGATCCAGGTGGAATCAGCGACGATAAAGGCGAGAGTTAATCTGTGGTAATGGCATGGCCTGGAAACCCGCGTTTTTCGGTGGGTTTGCCTTGAGATGCACTTGGTGAAAAAAGAGCCACCATGCGATTCCCTTTGGCAGAAAAAAGAAAAACTACAATGTGAGCTCTTTCTCTTCACCAGATGAGGTCTGGTTTTTGTAAATACGCCCATAGGGAAACACAAGCTTTGCGGAGAGTCTCCTGACGATCATAGGCAAAAAGCTGGCCTTGCACATGCATACACTCACACCCCATTGCTTTCGAACTACATCGTTTAATGTTCTAAAAGCTGCAGGCTTAGAAAACTACCGAGCGAAGAGTGTAACAGGCCAAGCGAGGTAAAAATCTGTGAGTTGTACTAAAGGGGAAAACTAGCCGGAGAGCGCGCCACGCTTAGCGAAAGGCAATAAGGACTCTTAGCATGTTCTTCTGATCTCCACTTGAATCCATCTAATACAATTACACTCGCACCAAATTCATTTCACTCTCCTCCTTTTCCACTCCAACTCTAAATCATCTAGATCAGAGTCTTATCGAACACTCTCTCTGTGATTCTATCCGACTGCTTACTCTAAAGAACACATCTTTTTTCCGATAGGCATGAGAAGGCATGCTGGCTAACTGACCTTTAAAGATTAAAAATTGTTATTAGAGCACTAACCCAAACACTTTTACAAGAATCTCACAAATGAACAATGAACCAAAACAGACTTAATGCTGTTGTTTCATAATGAGTACGATATTCAGAGTTCCCCAATGTCTTGTCTGCCTGTGTTGGATAGTAGCTCCAACGAAAAATTTATCCAATAAATAGCAAGGAGATAACCGTCTATTGACCTCTGTTGAGACATTTTTGCATTATAACTGTGTCATTGATCATCGGTCTTTGTTTTACATTGAGCCCTCGAGGTGATCTCAAACTTTAAAACTTTTTATAAACTTAAAGTAAAGCAAACAAGTGAAAAAGGAGTCACTTGAAGAATGCAAAAGGTTCGAAAAATCTAAAACCGACGGTCATTCATAACGTGACTGACGAAATCAGTTGCGGTTTCGTGGATGTTGAGACGGATGTCAAGATTTCAAGTGATAGATGAATATAGATCATCTATTGCAACACCAACTGTTGCGTTTTAATTTCTAATTTTGAATTATAGCTCGGAATCTCGCGTTATAGCTCGGATCTCGCTTTAAAAGTCAATATCTCACAGCGTAAATGGAGATCTCGAGTAAAAACTCGAGAGAATAAGGTTGAACTCGAGAAGGTTTCTAGTTAGGAAAATCATGCAACTTTCTATGCAGAGACTAAAGAAGTAATTGATAAATAATGGAAGAGAGTGGCTCCTGATAAAGTTCTCTCATTCTTCATGATAACCATTTTTCATTTCAGTAGTCGTCCGTTCTGGAGACAGCTTGCATGCAGTTTCTTAGCTTTTCAAGTTATGAGCACGAGGCATTTTCATGATGATTATGTAACCTTATGACCTGACCCTATTTCAAAATGCTAACAATGCAAACACGCGAGGGTACATGTGAGTTGACAAGAAATGAAAAACAGAACCATACAGGAAATTTTTCAATCGTAGTTACCTCAATTCGTGGTCAGTTACACAGTCGAAACATCACTTTTGATTTATTTGATAGCTTCAATGTACAGCACTCGGTTTTTCCAGGCTTCAGCAAGCTACACCCTATGTGGGGCAACATTGGACAAATCAGTTGCTACAATAGAACCTTGCACCAGTAAGGATCGAGTTGCTTATTTAAGATGAAAGCTTTTGCCACACCCAGAACGCTGTCATAGCTCTTAAATATCACATCATCACTTTCAAACCGAGGCTATCACGGCATGAGTTACATGGTTCTAGAGACTCGATAGAGCTATAATCTTATTAAAGCCGGCAGTCACATGACAAATTTTGTCAAGCGTTTTTTTTGTCTGAGAAAAAAATTCTTGAAGATCGATGTCGAAGTTACCTTAGTCCGTTGTGCATTATCTGAAATTCTCGAGGATTAAGAAAATAAACCAAAAAAAATGGGCGATGTCGGCGCATCCGTGAAAGTTCTTTACTTTCATCTATTATCATAAAAACCCTTTTTGCAACTTCTAAGGTTTAATCAATCAAATTTCAACTATGCCATGTTTGTCGAGCAAGGTCAAGTTCAACACATTTTTTTTTTGTTAAATTAAAACAGGGAAATTAGCTTCGCCTTGGATAGAGCCATCTCTACGACGCTGAGGTATTTTGGTTGTGCAATGACGAGTAAAACTTATTTTTTGCAGCTGTCCGTGAACCAGATCTGTGGTTCACTTCAGCTGCACTTCAGGCCCTGTGACCCTTTGATTTAATAACAATATTGGCGAATATCACGAAATAGCCAGCTGTGGTCAGTGATGTGAACTATAATGCCAAGTGGTCAAACTGCAATTATAGAAACCTTGTTTGGTCTTTCAATATTGTGCAATGTTATCCAATGCCAATGATGCAAAGTTATATCACCAAGTTGTCCAACCGAAAAGTAAGAAGAGAAACGGAACACTTCAGCAAAAAGAAAACTTAACTGAAGTTACGCTTTGAGTGAAGACTTTCAATTATTTGGTTCTCTAAGTATACAAGTGAGCGTGGAATTGATGAATATGTTGTTCGTGACTTCTTGTGTTGTTTTGAAAAGTAATTTTCATTCGTTCTGACCTTTGATGGTCTGAGATAGTCAAGACCTGTTGTATTCTGGGATACAAAGAGTTTCAAAAGAGCTTTCGGGATCTGGAGTCTTAAAGACTGAAATCAGAGGGTTTACGAAAAGCAAAGATATCAGTTTTGGAACATGTCGTTGACTGACTCACCAACAAAGTGAAAGTCGTAAAAACTTAATCAAACTTGAGTCAGGGAGTAGGCAATCATCATCATGTTTTCAAAAACAGACAGGTGTGCGACCTTACGTAACTTGACACATGTGCAAGGGTGACAAGAATATACTTTTAACACACAAATAACTCAAGGTACTCTTCTAAACCCCTGAAATATGCGATTAAACGATTAAAAAGTATCATAATTGTTGTTCAACTTTTCTGGATAGTGTGAAACCGCTGTTTGATATCTTTTCATTATCTTTTGATATCTTTTCATTATCTTTTTATATCTTTTCATTATCCTTCCACTTGAAAATGTATGGATTGTAATCAGGAATGCGAGATCAGGTGATGCGGAAAAGGCAGATTCTTTCCCGTGCAGTTCAAAGGTGTATCAGAATGTATTACCCAAACTTACTTTAAGCCCTAGCTCGTAACGGCAAAGCTAAATACAGTTCTAGGTAAAGACTGGATTTGAACACTTATTAAAACTGGTGCGGGGGCATTGAAAAGTTCAATTCTGTCTGAATTAGATCGATGAGCTGGTGGTGCCTTTTATGATGGTCGACAAATATATATATCTATTTTTATGTTGAGTCAATCATCTTGGTTTGCCAAAAAAAGAGTTTTAAGTGAGCAAGATTTGGACGGTCCTCCTATTGATACGAATAATCAGAAACTTTAAAACAAATTTATAGGCGTTGTAAAAACATTGGTTAGGCTTATCACGTTTTTTTAAATGCATGATACATTGCGACGTGTGTGGGGAAACCTGTTTGATCGAGAATAACCTGTTTTGATGCGTCAATCATCCAACGTTATTTACCTCGATTTTACTTTTGAATTGATACACCCAACCCCAGCATAATCAGTTGAGCCAGTCAGTAACAGTGTGAACTACTACAGCTTACGAGTCTCTGAAGTATTTTTGGGAGAAAGTCTTTCTGCAAGAAATTTTAGAGCTATACATGGCTTCATCTAAGCTAGTAAGTGACTCAGTCATGAGGTTAGACAAGGGTTTCAATTAAGTGCTGTCTCAAATTTTTCATTGAGGAGCTAAAGCTACAGAATTTGATTTTCAATCTGTGTGACTCTCCCTAATTACTGTCTTTTCTAATTATAATATTGAACTCTTTTATCCTGAGGAAATATTACCAGTGCTTGTCGCTTCTGGTGCTAAGTATCCTAAAAGAGAGTGACGAATGATGTTGTTATTATTATTGTCGTCCATTGCATGATCTTTGAAGGATAGGAAAAAAGTAGTAATCACATTGAGAGTGAGCTCTTTGGACGATTAACAAAGCGAAAAAAAGCTAAGTTCATGAAAGCAATGTTTTCTTCCCATGAATGAATCAAATTTTATCTCAATGGATAGAGTGCAAAATGGGGAAAACCTAAACTATTACGTTCTCTCGTGAGATCTCAAGAAACAGTACAAATGTCGAGCTTGTTTTTTTTGTATTAGAAGTAAAATGAAGAAAAAAATTATAGTTATTGGTATTGTAGTGGCTCGACAGTTCACTTTTTGTTTTCGTCTTCTCAAATTAAAGCCGTTGACGCTATGGTTGGTCTTTGCAACCTGTTTCAGTGGTATCTCAGCCCAGAAAACCTTTAAAAAATTGAATACGAACTTTCTTTTGCAAATCTTTGACTTTCAAGAACACATAAAAAGGGGAACTAGCTAGGAGACAAAGGCACAGGCTTTATAGGAACCCATTGATAATCGAGAAGTTTCCTGGTACATTTCAACATGTCCGCTATTAAACCATAAAACTAAACAAACAGAAGATATGCCCCGGGTTAAGAAGATGATAAAGTCGTTCAAATTGTAGCCAAAGAACATTGTAAGCCCATAGCTTCTGTTTGGCAAGACGTTGTCTTTATAACAATAAGCAATATCTTGATGTGTCGCCACTTTCGTCTTTCGTCTTGCTCAATTATCCGCACAAAGGGAATCATTTTTATGAAATTATGTAGTGCAGACACAACGTATTTATGAGATGAAATTACTGTAATTAATCGTTTCAGTTTTTCATTTTTCTGAGTTAAACTTAGAACTTTCTATTTCGAGCGATCAAAGTAGTATTTGAGCAGCACACTCCGCGTTAAAATTTGGAAGTGGAAGCTGATCTAAAAGTCGGAGCAAATTTTGTTCTCTGCAGTCAACAAGATATCAACCCAGACAGCTTTTTGAGAATGAATGTACTTGACCGAATTTGGAAAGTACAAAAATACACCCATTTACCTATGCAGTGATTTCATGGGAGACACCACAGAAATGATGAAATCGTTGAGGACTCAGGAAATAAATGACTCTCAAAACTCTCTCTGTCTGACCACAAACACAGTTCTCGGTCGCTTTGTAAGCATGATTTTGTAAGTGCTTTAAGTAAATCGTTTTCTTGCTAACCTCACAACTATATTGGCATTTTTCGGTGGTGGCTGCCCATATACCAAGCTTGCTCAAGAAAAGAAAGGCGTCTGTGCCACATGCCCTCCTTTCAACAATGGCTGCCCCTTCAAACAATGCAAGACTGTGGGTGAGCTTCAAGACATGATGGGTCAGATGCGTGACCAGTCCAAAAGTGAAGCTCAATGGATCGAGTTTTTGAAGGATGTCCACTTTTTTACAAAGGAAAAACACGTAGAATATGGAACTGTCTCCCCTCAAAGCTCCTTCAAGGGTGGCTGCCCCTTTGCTAAAGACATTGCAGGAAAGGAGATTTTGAAACCTGCATACACTGTGGTAAGTAATTTCGGTTTCAGAGTGAAACTATAAAATGAAAACCATCGATAAAGAGCTTTCTAACGTATAGCTCAGGTGCGGGAATTTGTTTTCTTTCCCCAGTTTTTTAATTAATGCCAAACGATTGTCACTGTCTGGTGTTTTTCCCACTTTCAGAGCAAATCTCGAAACATGAATCATTCTAAAGAATCTATTACCTGAAGTGAAGAAAATGTGATTAGCTCACGACTGATTTATTTGAGCTGTTGTGTACAGTTCCCGGTAAATATTTTCGTTTCTAGTTTAACTTTACACTTAAACCTGCGGTGTCCATATTCTTTGACGGTTGAGGAGATCGTCAAGAAATGCCCAACTTTTGGCAAAGGTGTGTGCCCATATAAATCTCTTGTTGATGAAACGAAAGGAATTACCGGAAACTGCCCTGGTTTCAAAGACGGATGTCCATTCAAGAACCTGAAAACTATGGGTGAGTACGTGGGCAAATTGGCCGAAATGCGAGATAAGACAGCCACTCCTAAGGGTCGAGCTGCATTCGAGAAGCTGATGAAGAGGGTTCATGAAATCTCCAGGGAGGCTGAGAAGAAGGCTGGACCTTGGCCATTCCCTCCAGATACCTGCCCAATCTTTGCTCGTGATGCACATGGAAAGTGCATCATGCCAAAATGCAATTAGGCTTCCTCAGAAAGGAAGAAGGATCTGACTGGGCCAACTGGCGTTTAAGTAGTTTATTCAGAAATGACTTTTAATTCCATTTTGGTGTGTTGTTTAAGGGTACGTTTTTATTCAGCCAGTTTCCTCCTAAAATGTTTAACTTTTATATACAGATTGTGGTGTTGGGATATTGGGTATTTTGCAATATTAACTGTAAAACTTTCAAATTGTGATTTAAACATTCATATAAGCCTTTAGAAATCCATTAGAACACTTAATCATGCGCTCCAAACGCACAAATAGTCAGTTAAAACTTTCAATGAATCAGGTTTAACATTTAATTATAAACATCAAACCCTCTAGTAACATTTGAATATTAACTTCAAATAAGCGGGTTTTTAATTCAACCTTCACATCCTTTAACGAAACTTTCATCTTGGGTATTCAAATATATTAATAACACTTTCATTTTGGACATTCTTATTCGATTCAAACATTCAATTCCGATATTCAATGTAAACATTCAATCCGAACATTTCATAAAAACATGCAATTCCAACATTCAATTCAAACATTCAATGTAAACATGCAAGTCGATCATTAGATATAAACAAAATTCAATTCGAACATTCAGTGCAAGCGTTCAATTGTAACATTAATTCAATCCTGATATTTAATGCGAACATTTTATTCGAACATTCACTGCAAACATTCAATTCGAACAGCTCATGTTAACATGCAATTCAGCAATATTCAGTGCAAATATCATTCCATCTCTGTTCGCTCCGTGGCATTGGGCCAACATCCTGGGACTTCAGAAACCCGAAAGGAGTGGGAAACCAAATTGCGTTTCCTTTGCTTTTGGAGTGCTTTGTACGTGTGGCATTAATTATTCTGCAATTTTTACAACAATTCAAAGGTTAGTTTGAGAATGTTTATTGCTGTATGTTTTTTGCATTTTCAAGGTTTCGTACTTGTGCCTTAGAGTTTTTAAAATTTCTTTTCATCTATAAGCCAGTGAGCTTGAGGACATGGCACAGAGTAAATTCGGCGGCAGATCGAGTTAAGCCATCTTTGAAGAACCCCAGTAGGATCTACTCTGAGTAAAGACTGCCTCGTCCTTTCTCTTTGCAAAGTGAGACCTTGACTTTAAGGATGACCTTTGAGCATTCTTATACCCACACCAGGATATTGTCCTTGAATTTTAAGGACAACCTCATCCGGGGAATTATCATGGATATCTCTGTATTTAACTTCGAATAAGGTCAATAAGTTAAACACTTTAATCATCATTTCAGCCTCATAGCCTTGGGATATCGTGTACTTGCTGAACAATACCACAGTTGTACCATTGCCTATCTGTATTAATTTTTGACTTGTTGGCTTCTCAGCTAAGTGCACTCTCAGCACAGCACTGATATCGCAGAGGTCATGAGTTCAAATCCTGTACAGGCCTAAATGTTTTTTCAGGCCTCATTTTCACTACTGCTTAAGTAGTGTTCATTACTGCGAAGATCGCTATCATATTCATGTTTTAATTTTTTGCTGAACAAAAAAACTACTAAATGACCCTTGTCGGTCTCCTTGCCACTATTAACCTCTTGCATATTTAGGATATCACCGCAATTTATCCACGGAAGGCGACAGTTTAATAAACCGAACAGAAACTGGTTATTGGTTAAGTAACAGAAAGTTTATCTGTAAGCTAAATTCCGTGGGTGTTTTGATAAAATTATTTAATAAGTTAATAATATAAGTTGGCGGTGGATGCCTCATCTTTCTGTCAAAATAAAAATTCCCGATAAAGAGCAGTCATCTGACATTAATTAGTGTGAATTCAATTTTTCGTCCCCTCTTGGGGAGTGTATACCTGAGGGTTACTTTTAATCTCTTCTATACCCTCTTGGGTAGTGTATACCTGAGGGTTATTTTTATTGTCTTCTATACCCTCTGGGGCAGTGTATACCTCAGGGTTACTTTTAATCTCTTCTATGCCCTCTTGTGTAGTGTATATCTGAGGGTTATTTTTTTATCTCTTCTATATGCTCCTGGGCAGTGTACACCCAAGGGTTATTTTTTATCTCTTCTATACCCTCTTGGGCAGTGTATACTTGAGGGCTACTTTTAATCTCTTCTTTCCCCTCTTGGGTAGTGTATACCTGAGGGTTACTTTTAATCTCTTCTTTCCCCTCTTGGGTAGTGTAAACCTAAGAGTTATATTTAATCTCTTTAATACCCTGTTGTGCAGTGTATACCTGAGGGCTCCTTTTAGTCTTTTCTATACCCTCTTAGGTAGTGTATACCTAGGGGTTATTTTTAATCTCTTGTATCTCTAATTTTGAATCTCCTCTATACCCTCTTGGGCAGTGTATACCTGAGGGATACTTTTAATCTATTCCATACTCTCTTGGGTAGTGTATACATAGGAGTTCTCTTTTATCCCTTCTATACCCTCCTGGGCAGTGTATACCTGAGGGCTCCTTTTAGTCTTTTCTATACCCTCTTAGGTAGTGTATACCTAGGGGTTATTTTTAATCTCTTGTATACCCTCTTGGGTAGTGTATAGCTATGGGTTATTTTTAGTCTCTCCTATACCCCCTATAATTAAGGGTTATTTGTAATCTCTTCTGTACCTTCTTTTGCAGTGTATACCTGAGGGTTACTTTAATCTTTCCTATACCCTCTTGGGAAGTATAAACCGAAGGGTTATTTTTAATCCCTTCTATACCCTCTTGGGCAGTGTATAGCTGAGGGTTATTTTTAATCTCCTTTATATCCTCTTGGGTAGTGTATTCCTGAGGGCTATTTTAAATCCCTTCTGTACACTCTTCAGCAGTGTATAGCTGAGGGTTATTTTAATTTGTTCTCTTCTATACCCTCTTGGGCATTTTATACCTAAGGGTTATTTTGAATCTTTTGTATACCCTCTCAGGCAGTGTGTACCAGGGGGTTACTTTTAATCTCTTCTTTACTCTCTTGGGTAGTGTATACCTGAGGGTTATTTGTAATCTCTTCTATATTCTCTCGGTTAGTGTATACCTGAGGGTTATTTGTAATCTCTTGTATACCCTCTTGGGCAGTGTATAGCTGAGGGTTACTTTTAATCTGTTTTACACCCTCTTGGGTAGTGTAAACCTAAGGATTATTTTTAATCTCTTCTATATCCCCCTGCGCAGTTATTTTGAATCTCTTAATTTTAGTCTCTTCTATACCCTCTTGGGTAGTGTAAACCAAAGGGTTATTTTTCATCTCTTTTATATCCCCTTAGCCGAGTATACCTGATTGTTATTTTTAATCCATTCCATACCCTATTGGACAGTGTATACCAGAGGGTTACTTTTAATCTCTTGTACCCTCTTGGGCAGTTTATAGTTGAGGGTTATTTTCAATCTCTTCAATACCCCCTTCGGCAGTGTATACCTGAGGGTTACTTTTTATCCCTCCTATGCCCTCTTCGGTAGTGTAAACCTAAGGGTTTATTATTTTCTTCTGTACTCTCTTGGGCAGTGTATACCTGAGGTTATTTTTAATGTCCTATATATTCTTGATTAGTATATATCTGAGGGCGCTTTTGAACTCTTCTATCCTTTCTTGGGTAGTGTATACCGAAGGGTTATTTTAAATCTCTCGTATACCTTCTTGGGCAGTGTATAGCTGAGAGTTATTTTTAATCTCTTGTATACTCTCTCAGGTGGTTTATACCTGAGGATTACTTTTCATCTCTTCTATACCCTCTTGGGCAGTGTATACTTGAGGGTAACTTTTAATCTCGTCTAAACTCTCTTGGGCATTGTATAGCTGAGGGTTATTTTTAATGTACACTATATCTTCTTAGGTGGTGCATACCTGAGAGCTACTTTTAATCTCTTGTTTACCCTCCTAGCTAGTGTATACCTGGGGTTTTTTTTTTAATCTCTTCTATACCCTCTTGAGTAGTATATACCTAAGGGTTATTTTTAATCTCCTGTATACCCTCTCTAGCAGTGTAGAGCTGAGGGTTATATTTAATCTCTTCTATACTCCCTCAAGCAGTTTTTTACCTGAGGGTTACTTTTAATCTCTTCTATACCCTCTCGGGCAGTGTATAGCTGAGGGTTATTTTTAATCTCTTGAATACTCTCTCAGGCAGTTTTAACCTGAGGGTTACTTTTAATCTCTTCTATACCCTCTTGGGCAGTGTATACCCAAGGGGTATTTTTAATCTCATCTTTACCCTCTTGGGCAGTGTATACCTGAGGGTTTATTTTTCATGTCCTTTATACCTTTTTGGGCAGTGTATACCTGAGGGCTACTTTTAATCTCTTCCTACCCTCTTGGGTAGTGTAAGGGTTACCTTACCTAAGGGTTTTTTTTAATATCTTGTATACCTACTTGGGTAGTGTATACCTTAGGGTTATTTTTAATCTCTTCTATACCCTCTTAGGTAATGTATACCTTGTATACCTAATGGTATATTTTGCTGTGACCTTTGGCCAGGACTATTTGAGGACCTTGTGTTCACGATTAACTGCTGTCTGACATGCATTGTTTTTACCAAGAAAAAAATCACTTAGCGTACCGTCCCTTAGGTTATTTGCATTTCAACTCGTTAAGTTTCTTTGAGGCATTTCTCTGGACTCTTGTTTGATGAATGATTAGAAATGCAGTTATTGGAAGTGGCGGTTTTTTCCATTTCAGTCGAGGGAAACTTTGTTATCTTTTTTCTGGCGATTATCGGATGTCCTGGAGTGTTCGGCGAACACCTCACGCCACCAAGAGGCGTCTAACTTTGGCTTGAATTACTTATGCAAATTAGCTTTGTGCAGCCAGCTAGTTTGCATAATAATTTTTCCAGCGCAAAGCCCGTCAACAATACCAATTTGTCAGAATTGCAATTGCAATTGCAGAACCTTCTTTGGTCTTCATTATTGCTCAATGTTATCTAATGTCAAGATGCAAAACCGAAAAGTAAGAAGAAAAAAGAAAATTCAACTTTGTCGGAGCACCCTTGCCTAACTTACCATACAATTGGGTGGGTCTCT